CTAGATGGCTGCTTGTTTACTTTCAACCCTTTAAGACCCCAGACGCTATATCTTTTGATAGCCAGGCACCATCAGCTTTCTTCGCCACATTTGCTTATGCACACCTGTTCTTACAGTGTTTGCTGTGTGGAGTTGAAGAAAGCTTACTTGGAGAACGGTAGCTTTTAGTTGCACAGATGGTTATTACATTTCTCTTTACTCATCCTCCCCTCCCCAACTGGGAATGATGTAAAGCACACGACAGAAATCCTTATGGGTTTTTATTGTAGGTTATCAAATTTTGTAGCTAACTTATTCTGGTGACATAACCAGGGTTGAAAATTCATGAGCTGGTTGGTATACCTTTTGAAACTATGATAATTGTGAAAAGAACATACATAGCATTTTTGTGCATTTATGCACATTTTTTAAAAGATTTATACCAATTAACATGTTTGTGCAGAGAGAACCAACACCTGTCTTCTTGTCCAACCCCCATGTGCAGAACGGGTACTTAAAGAATACTATGTGAAGAGCGTGGTTGGATGACATTGGTTTTTGAGGGTGCCCTAGTTGCCTGGTAAAAGCTCACTGGGGAACATTGACTGGTTTCACCTTTGCAACGTTGGACCATGTAGGTTGAGCTACATGAAACTGATTTATATTGGTGAGTCAAAGATTGTCAACCTAATGTGTCCATTTGAGAGTCTGGAGTCAAAACATCGTGGAGATGGAAATGAAGTTAAAGATCAATTACTCGATTTTCCTCTGACCTATAGACTCGCCTCTCTGTGACTTCCCTGACGAAAGGCCGCCGACTCCTCCGGGAGCGTTGCAGGTGCTCTTTGCCCTGTCTAGTGTGTAGCTCTTGATAAATTCTTTTTACAATCCCTGGAGTTTATAAAGATTGTGCTTAGAAATAAAATCACCACTTTGGGTTGTTTAATTTTGGAGCGCATCATGGTCACCTCATCTGGATCGATTCCAGATTGTTAAGTGTCCTCATTTAAATAAATATTTTACTAGAAATACACATTAAATATTACATATTTTCCATCTATTCTTTATGTGTATTTTTTATTTAATTGGGGGGGGGCGTAGATATATTTAAAGAAAGGTTCTTAAGAAGGTACCTGGTTTTTATGGCATTCTTTCCCGGTACTGGTTAGAATTGTATTTGGCATTGTTTAGTGTCCTTTTACAAATATTATGCCTATGGACATCATAGTCCAGATATTGTATGAGCTAACCGATAAGAAGTGTTATTCTCCAGAACTTGACTCACTGCTTGTAAAGTGAAACCTCGGCGTATGGTTGCTTCTTTAGTAGCTATATCACACGCTGTTGCTTTGTTTCATTTACTTATTTATTTCACAAGAACCTTGATGTAGCCTATTTAAGCAAACTCTAAATGAAAATGCCTACTGCCTGTAGTTTGGGACTTGGCATTGAGAGACATCTAATTTCTGGATTTTGCCCACGTTTGACTTCTGCACCTGGAAAGCTTTCCCGGCTGAGCATGCTCATGGCAAAGGCACGTTCTAGGAGATGGTATGGAGAGCCCTCCGTGCCGCCCGGCAGATGAGAAGCCAGGAAGAATTGAGCTGACTCACAGCTTTATCAGTACTGTAAGATTGCAAGTGCATGTCCGTGAGAATTTTCAGTGTCCCTTAGAACCTAAATACTATAACAGTGAACACTGGAGACTTGCATTCTCACTCTGAGAAAAGGCCGAAGTTCTTACAAGAATCCACAAGGCCCTGGACCATTATATTTTTGAAATCTGCTCCATTTCCCCAAGTCGCCCTCTCCCAACTGTTCGCTTCCCTCCAGCCAGATCAGGCTCTTTGAAACCTGTTGTTTGAAACATGCCAGGCACTCGCCTGCTTCAAAGGCTTTGTGCTTGTTCCCTCGGCCTGGAATGCCCTCTTCGGATAGAGACATGGATGGATGGCCGCCCTCTTCCCATCCCACCCGAGTACCACCTTCTCATTGGGCTCCATCTGGATACACTCCCAAGGCCCTGTCCTTCACTCCCCATCAAGTTTTTCTCCTTTCTTTTCTCCATCACCTTCAGGCTTACCTGATAGATGTTTTACTAGTTGATTTTTGTCTTCTCGCTTGACTGTGAGATCCATGAGGGAGAGACTTTTCTGTTTGTTCACTGCTCCTTTCTCAGCACCGAGAACTGTGGCTGACACATAGAAGCACTCAGCACACAAATACCAGCAAAGGGTGTTCAGAGATATTCTTATTATGCTAGTGTTCAGAGATATTCTTATTATGCTAGTGCCCGGGGTGACCTCTCTGATAATACCCTATGTATGTGAAGCAGCTAGAAGGCTTATGGCATTTCAAAGGCAGCTCCCTTTCTGTTCTAAGTGCTTCATTTCCTGAAGTTACTTAGAGGCTTAAGTGGACTCTGGCCTACTCTCCCTTCTTAATCGTCCTAGTACTCAGCTTTCCCATACTTTCATTTCGAAACCTCTCCCTACCTGTCAAGGAGTCCCAGTGGAGCAAGGTTGAAGTGCTTGGCTGTGAACCTAAGGTTGGAAGTTTGAGCCCACTAGTGGCTCCGCGAGAAAAAAGGCCTGGTGCTCTATCCCCATGGGCTTACAGCCTTGGGGACCCAACGAGGCGGCTGTGCTCTGCCTTCTATAGCATTGATGCCACAGCACACTCCACCACCACCGGGGTCCTAGTTTGAACCACAGGCAGACACGAAAGAGCCGAGAGGCTATTTTCAACCCAAGGACAGAACGTAACTGAGATGCTGGCGGGTGCCTTGGGAAGTAGGGCTCAATTCTAGTGGGGCCCAGACTGACCAGGACCTCATTCATCCCTGCAATTATTTTTTCAAAACAAACTTCCCAAGACTCATGCCCCAAGGTCCCTGCCCTCTGCCCCCTGCGCTCCCCCTCAAAAAACAAGCATAAAAACAACGCAGAGAATGAAAGAGACTTTTCTTCAAAATTAGAGTATAATTTTCTGTGAGTTGTCCGCGAGGAAATGTTGGGAGGCGGTATATAATAGTGGAAGATGAGGCGTGCAGACCGAAGTCCCTCCATTCATCATTGGTTCCTGTAAAGCAGTAGCCGGTTCAGATGTTCCCAGGCATCCAGGGTTGTGTTTGTTTGCATTCTGGTTGCTCACTTAGCTCTTCATGGATCTCCAGCGAATTATTTATGGTGCTTGTCTCAGCCCCCAGCCGTACTGGAACCCTCAGTGAACTCCTTCACAAGTGACTCCGTTGGGCCCAAGGGGAATGAATGCCTGACAGATTCAGCTAGAACCCTTAGTGCTGCTTCTCCTCGCAATTACCCACAGCTTCACACTGCTGGGAGAAGAGGGTAATTGGGCTTGAGCCATAGAGTGTATGCCCAGAGGGGCTTCACCAAGTGGCTTCACAAAATCCGTGGAAGAATCCCATTATTTTTTTAATCCATTTTTCCACGAACATTTTGACGCTCCTCCTGTGCATGAACAGTCCTCCCTACAAGTTAGGTTTCGGGGCTGGGAATTTTTTCTGTTTTGGTGGGGGGGTAGCGGGATCTTGAAGCAAGAGACACTCTTATCATAAAGTGATATTGTTCTTTATGTTATTTTTCTACCTAGGACAAAAATACCTTTATTTGGTATTTACTCATAAGATCATTTTCTGATGGTAGTGGGGGCAAGGAAGAGCCTGCAGGGGAGAGGGAGGCAGTGGGGTCTCTTAAAGTCCCTGTTTTACAGTTGGATAAATTGAAAATTGGTCACTTAGACAATTAGAGATAAAGCTAGGCCCTGGGATCACAGATCTGTGCTTCAGTGGGTTACTGCCCTGGTTTTCATTCCTTTATCTTATAATTAAACTATGACTCTAGGCTTCCAACTACGCCAGCAGGTACAAACCACTAGTCAAACATCCATGCACTTCTGGGTAGGGGTCCTTTAAATTTGCCTAGGAAAAAATTTTAATGCTATTTGAACTCTTCAAAAATGTGCTATCTTAAATCCAGTGGTAAAAGTGAATGCAGCTGAAGAGAATTAGAAAAGGTGGATGAGTTAGTTAATTGTGCCAACCTGGCCCATAATCACATGTGGGGCTAATTGAAAGGCGGAGGGATAAATGGGTGGTGAGCCTCGCCTTTCTAGTTCTCGGGTCTCTTGCTTTGTGGTGGTCGCACCGGGTGCAGCTGCCTTAGCAGTTCCCTGCTTCAGCTTGCAAGATTGACTTCCTACAAGACATCCCCAAGGAGAAGCTACATGGACCTATCCCGATGCAGCCCTGGGTGCTGGAGCAGCCGTGTGGAGACCCCTGCCAGTGCTGAGATGCTTGTTCATTCACTGACTCAGCTTTCCTCCTGCAGTCGGCATCATTGCCTCTGTTTTGTGAGGTGGAGGACTTTGTGGACTGGTGTTGGGTTAATGGGTTAATGTTGGACTTATGGGCTTGGGCAGCATTGGGTTGGGTTATTTTCATGATGCACACTTTCTTTACATAAAACTCTTGTTGGATTCACATGGTAGTGGTAGTACAAGCTAGACCACGGATACGTCCAGTTCCCACCTGATAACAGGCCTCTGGAAAGGATTCTTTGGAAACAAATCCATTTTGACTCAAGGAGACACTGGCTGAAGTACTATGACTAACTCTTAAAGCAGTTGCAGTTAGGAGAGTCCAACAGCACTTCTCCAACAACATCTAGAATAGGGAAGCAATATAAATGCCCGTTTTCTTTGTGTTAGAAGGAAAGCAACTCGAGACAAAAAATAGGGTGCTTCTCTTAAGAGGTTTTTTCTTTATTTCTTCCCCTGACTCATCCTTAGAATCTGAAGAGGCATAGGAGCGGAGAGCTATTCTGGGTAGAGGTAGGACTCAGCCTCAACCTTTCTAATCGCCGCAAGCCAACCACCTGCTGCCTCGGTAGATTAATAGGAGATGACAGAGTTGGCCAAAAAAGAAGCATTGCTATTGCTAAATGATATTATATGTATGTCTTTCCTTTCCTGTTCAAAACCCTAAAGCTAAGTAAGAACCCTTAAGGGTAAGTGGTATTTGGTGTGGGATTAAAAATATGTGTAAGAAGCTATAATCATCAGGACTATTACCGTAGGCCCAGCACTTTGCTTACTTAATCTTATTATTTAATCTTCTCAACAGTTGGACTCAGACAAATGGGATCTTTCTATTATACAATCATATGGCATCCTGATTTCTGCGTTATAGCATGTATTACAATCTTATTGGGGAAAACCTTTTAAACTGGGTGATTAATTACAGTAAATTACTGTTTATTGTTAATTAATTACTTCCTGTCTGACCCACCCACTAGACTGAAAGCTCTAGGAAGGTCAGGACCATTCATCTCAGTCCTGCACCCCCAGCCTTCCTAGTGACTATGCCAGGAACAACCCAATGGTTAGTGAATGACTTAACCACCCTCTGAGCTACGTTCTGGTCTTGCCTCTGCTTTATACACCCAAATCACAGCCTGAGGCTTCAACCAGAGCCTCAGACCCTGGGACACTTAACCCCGCTACTGAAGCCACCACAGGGAACATCAGGTCTCTGGACAAGGATTTGAATTTTCAAGATATTCTGAATGTGAACATGGTCTTCAAAAGTAATCACATTCTCCACTTGGGTCAGGATTTCGCTCTCTTCTCTTGGGGAGTAGAAGCCAGCCTGGCTCCCTGAGCCTCCAGTACAACCCATTAACAATTGCGGAGTGTCATTGACGAGGCAGGTGAGGGCCCAGGAAGCTGTTCTTGGGCTGGTGGTGCTTTGAGCTCTCACTCCTCTGGGAGGGAGCAGCACAGACTTTTTGTACAGATTAGCTTCTTTCAAGAACAAAAGTCTCTTTGGGAATTTATTAATTCCCATGCCTCCCTGGGGCCTCGTGGTGGGACTTTGCTCCAGGGCAGTTGTCCAGCTCCGAGAGAGCTACCAAGCCCCCGCTGGCTGGATGGTTTTGCAGTGGCCTGATTAACTGGGCAAGGTCAGACTTGCCTCCCAGAGGTAGACCCAGGGCTAAGAAATCCTTGAAATGCCTTAGTTCTCCGGACCTAAGCAGATCAGAGCCCCAGAGACCTTAGGAGCTCCGAGCGCCTGGGACCTTCTCCTGAAAAATGATAGCAGTATTGCTTGTCCCACCAGGAGCCACATAATCTTTCCTGGGCAGGGCCTTCTAGCCCCCTGCCCCTCCAGACATCAAGGGCTGCTCAGGAGGACATGTTCCTCAGAAACTTGAGTGTAAATCAAGGGAGGGAATTAATTGCCTCAGCATTTCCAACAAATGATTGCCAGCGACAGCCTATGCAAACCACAAAATCTCCACCCCGCCGAGCCTTCATCAGGGACTCCGCTTCCCTAGGAGTCCACAGGGCTTAACGCAGGGCCTTCGGAGGTCAGCAAGCAGCGAGCACGCTGAATCCTTCATTGTCAAGGTCGGAGAGCCCCCTTAGAGCCGGCCTGAAAACAACACTCTTCTGTGTGGTTCCTAATTACTTTCCCATGGCCTCCTCTCTTTTCAGTCTTCTCTGTTCAATTACTGCAAAAAGACACAAATTATGTCAGGCAATTGAGCAGCGCCAGGGGTGGGAAGCTGGGGTTCCAGAAATCATGACACTGCACTGGGAATTTTAGCCTAGCCTACCCTCTCGCCTCGCCCACCACCAAGACCTGCTGTGTGCCCGGAAGATAAAGGTAGCCTGAGACTCCCTCCCAGTCTGTGCTGCCTTGGCAGAAAATGTGGACAGCACATGGGTGTGATGTGCAGTCTACTCTGCCATCTAGGGTCAGTCTGCATCGAAGGCCCGCTCAGTGGCACCTGGCTGGAGGAGGCGTCTTGGAGGAAGCCCTGTTTTCCCCTAAGGGTTTTTAATTCTGTCCTTCAGCTGCTTCCTACACAGATAGCTCAGACGATGAGACGTCCCCCAGAGACAAGCAGCAAAAGAACTCCAAGGGGAGCAGCGACTTCTGTGTCAAGAACATCAAACAGGCGGAATTTGGACGGAGAGAAATTGAAATTGCAGAACAAGGTAAAGCAGCCACGCACCCGGCCCTCCTCCATCTGCCGGTCTCTGTGGCCGGCAATCTTTTCATCTCCTGGGTTCCGGTAGCCAGCGAACTCACCCTGTGATGATGAAGAATACTTAAATCAAAAGAGCTCTAGGCTTGGGAAACACAGGGGGCTGGGGGGTGGGGGTGGGCAGGCGGACAACTAGCCCCGATGAGGCTAGGAGGACCCCCTGTGGTGAGGAGAGAGGATGGGCAGTCCCAGCCCTGGAGCACCTCCCTCTGAAACCAGTGGGTGTGCGCGTGTGGCCCCACGTGTGGCTGAGAAGAACGGTGCCCCATGGGATTTACAGTGGCGGATTTTTCAGTCATAAATCTCTAGACCCTTCTTCTGAGATGTCTGTGGGGTAAGGTAACCTTTCAGCTGGCAGCTGCATCACCCCAGGGCTCCCAAACCCTCTCCACAAGGACAATCTGGTGGCCATGTCTGGACCCCTGAGAAAGCTAATCTATCAGAGAAAACGTTTTTTCCTTTTCTCCTCTTCCCTCCACTGCCCACCTCCCTAATACCGCTGTGTCTGTGCTGGACCTTCCAGAAATGCCTGCCCTGATGGCTCTGAGGAAGAGAGCGCAAGGAGAAAAGCCTCTGGCTGGAGCCAAGATCGTGGGCTGCACGCACATCACTGCTCAGACTGCCGTGAGTTCTCCCCTTGCCCGCCCTGGAACTAAGGAATAACCACCTCCCGGCGGCGAGTGCTTACCACACGCCCAGCACTGGGTGACCAGTTAACAAGCCTTTGTTCTCACACTGGCCATGCCAAACAGGAATTCCTGCCTGTCCCCAGTCAAACAAGGACGCCGAGGCTCCCAGAGCTTAAAAATTATACAGCCACCAGGTCACAGAGTAAATATTTGAACTTCAGTGTACTTCACTCCGACCTTCTGTTTTCTCCATCATGGTACACTGCTTCCCCTTATCTTCCTTTCCAGTCCTTTCTACGAGGGGGCTCTGAATTGCATTGCCCTCAGCTGCACATAGAGAAAATTGGATTAATCGGATAGGGGAGGGGCAGGCAAACTATCGGGAGGTTGAATAAGGAGTTTACGTTGTTGACCACAACATTGGTTATCTGAAATGTAAACCTCTACCTAAATTACAAAGTATTTTAAAAAAATAAATTACCATAAGGCTTTCCTGCTGACCCAAACGGAAAGGAAGGCAATGGGAGTCGGCCTGGCTTGTGCAGACACAGTGCATGTGTACGTCATGCAGCTGCGCATACAGCTCGACGTGCGGTGGCACTGGACTTCCAGGCCCCAGTCTCGGCTCCTGTGACGCTCACAGTTGCCACCTTAGAGTCCTTCCTTCATCCTCAAGCTGCCCACGGCCTTCCAGCCACCACACACCAATGAAGAGGAAGAGGACCACTTCTCTGTCTCTCCTTTCCCAGAAGTCCTCTGGGACAAGCTGACCTGTCTCACTGGGCAGAACTGGGTGACACTGACAAGGGGCCAGGGTCACAATGAACGACTCACATCAGCGACTCTCAGATTCTGTGCCTCATTTTATTAAAAACAAACAAACAAAGCCATTCTGGAGTGCACTTGTGTGATCCTGAAATGAAATTCAGATCTCACGTGTATGTATACTCATCGTCTTTTTAAAAACAATTAGTATTGCCGTTTATTATCAGTGTCTCTTGTTTTTCTAGGACGCTTTTTAAAAACCGCCACAGAATACTAGTTTGAAAAACAAGGGAATGAGAAGGAAGCAGTCTATAATAAAACGCTATTTCAGTGTGCAGAGCTGAGGCGCACCGCTACCGGGTAGCCAGATTCCGGTAGTGTTTATTTGCAGCCGCATCTGAGTGAGAATGCAACTGGTTAGAGATGTGGCCTCGGTTCCGGTGCCTCTGAGCCGCCTTGTCTCATTACAGTCTCCTAAAAAGGGCAACAGCAACAAAAAGGCTGAGTTTTTCTCTCAAGATTTACCCAGTTGTTGCATTCCAAGAAAAACTGTTCTTACTTTGTTTCGAAACTACCAAACTCTACTTTTCTCATATGTAAAGTGGAGTAAGAGTCTCCACCCAGAGCGTGATGAATAGGTATTTAACCCATGTTGAACTTGCACTGGGACATCGGCACACTGGAAAATCGCACGAGATGTGGCACCATTTTGCATGACAAGAGCCTGTCCTAGCACATTCAAAATGCCTCCCTCCCTGTCCCTGCCCACTGACTCCCGGTAGCTTTCCCAACTCCTGTGACCAAACCACACACACACTCCAAGGAAACGAGCCTACAGTTTCCAAAAGCACCTATGTGGAGCCATCAACACTGCTTAGACAGCATCCTGAATGGGCCACATGTGGAACTTGTGATACAGCATCAGGAAGGTCATACATCTAATTCATTGAATTGCCAATGATCATGATCTCTCTGGGAAAAGTGGTGCTTTCTAGACTCTACTGCGGGATTTATAACATCCAGGCCACCTGTCCAGCAAGGCCAACTTTCAGAAGAGGGTTTCTCCTACTGCATGTAATGCATGGCACTCCTTGGCCCAGTTTTTAACTAGAGACCGAAGAGATTGCTCAAGACACAGACCCCTACAGTTAGCCTCGTCATTAGGCGGCTTTTCTGGGTTACATGTTCTCTGAGGAAAAGAGGTCCTTGATTATCCAAAATTAATATAGCAAATTGAAAAGCTCTCTCTTTGTGGAACTACAAACGAATGAATCCGGACAGAAATACTGTCGAGCCAACTCCATCAGGACAAGGAGGCTTCAGTGCAGTGGCTGAAAATAGGGTCTCACGTTGCTAGATCCTATCGAGTTTGCTTTTAACCCAACTCAGTGAAGGGCCCCTCCTCTTCCCGGTGGCTTCTCTAGCCTTCTCTGAATGGATTATTCAAAATTAACATCAATTTTAATGCTCCCACCCCCACCTTTTTTTCTTCTTCCTTTAAAAAACAAAACAAAAAAAATCACAACAGCCTTTTCTTTTTAATCGTTTTGTTTTCCTGATTGTAGAAGTCATTCATATTCATTTTCCAACATGATCACATTCCGTACTGTAGGGAGACAAGGTCTCCTAGCACCCCGCTGTTGTGGAAATAATTACCCTCCTTAGTGACTTCCTTCCTGCCTGTCCCCTAGCCGTGGAGCTCTTTCTAGTCTTGAGGTGTGCATCTACCGTTCTTTCTCACCAGAGCCCAGTGCTTTTCCTTCTAAGCGGTCATGATTTGAAGCCAGGTTAAACCAGCTAGTTCAGTCCCCACCAACCTGCCTTTATTCCTGTTGGTGCCCTAAAAGCCAGCAGGCCTAACTCACAGATCTCTGAAGAGTTTTTATCTTCTTGATGTCAGTCGCAACCTTGACTCTTTGACGGCTCAAGAGAAATACTGTTGATTTTATAGATTATTGGGCTTCCTTGCCTAAGATGGGAGCATCTCTTACAGCAATCTGGAGCCTATGCAGAAATAGAACTGTAGCCCAACAGTTTTACAAAATGTTTTAGCAAAATGTAACAGTCTTTTGGGTAAGCACAATACATTACCTTAAGTAAGAAACAAAATGTAGCCATCAGCTGGAACCTGCCTGCTCCCAACCCTCCTTCTGAAGGCAAGTTCCCAAGTTCTTCAGAGCAGTGGGAGAACCCGTGGCCCAGGTTATCCCCCGTGGGCCTTCTCCTTGCCTGAAGTTGTTGACTACATAAACGAAGCGTCTTTGACCAGAATTTGCCCCAGCCTTGCTCACCCTTGCTTTCTTTCCCATCCAGGTGCTCATGGAAACCCTAGGCGCTCTGGGAGCGCAGTGCCGCTGGGCGGCCTGCAACATCTATTCCACCCTTAATGAGGTGGCTGCTGCTCTGGCAGAAAGTGGTAAGCACCAGGCCTGGGGTGCATGGTGTGGCTAAAGTAAGTCCCTGGAGAGTTTCAGCATTCCCATATGAAATCTTCAAAGAAGGCCGACAGCAAAAGCTGTCAGGAAAGAAATCGATCCCAGCCTTTGATGAGACTGCTCTCTCCTGGGTGTCTCCCATCAAATGTGACCTCATTGACTGTTGTCATGCAGTTGGTACATACCTTGCCCATGTCTGAGTCCATGATCAGTTCATGCCTTGACTGGGCTCGCTCATGTTAGAGCACCACTGTCCACTTCTCACGGTCTACGGTGACCCAAACTAGAGGAGAAAGTGCTGCAGGGCTGTAGCTTTGTGGCCCTGCTAGTTTCCCAGTAAGCTCCGTGCCCTCATTTGCTGTTGGGTGTTTCTGCTTCAGCAGTAGAGGGGACTTGATCTGGCAGGTGAATGAACAATCACAGTGAAAGGACAAGAGACACAGAGACATTTGGACTCTGCCAACGCCTTGCCTTCTCTCTGGCAGCGCGGCACAGAGGCGGGTACCCACATTTGCATTGGAGCACTGGAGAAGGGCCAGGCCACCTGCAGCGCACATGTGCCCTGCTAGCATTCTAGTCTCCCACTCACATCCACTTATTTTTTTTAAATTGCTCATGTGTGATATATGTATAGAAAAATGAACTGATATTAAATGTAAAGCCAGTGACATGTACACATTTTAAAAAATAAATCTTTATTGACCTAAGATATAAAGACAAATTAGAATCTTTTTGCCCTCAGACTCTGATATTATAGAGAGATGACACAGACATAAACAATGCCAATACGATGTGTATCAGAAATGTCACAGCTATATTCAGTACACAGACAAGTGGCTTCTAAAAGTTCTGATTCCTTGAGTGATCACTTCCGACTGGCTTAATCAGATGTCATTACAGATGTGACACTTGGGTGGGCACAGGACTGGTGGAAGTGATTTTGGGGGTGTTCCAGGCACAGCAGATGGGGGAACTAGAGTGAAGAAGCAGGAAAGAATTCAGAGGTGGTTGGGAAATGAGAGTTGACGTTTGAGTCAAGGAATATTTATTTCTGGTTTCTTCTCCTCCCTCCCCACCCACCCTTTTAGAGAGGTTTTTATCACTCCCTCATATTCGTGTCCCTTTTGATAGTCTCCTCTGGGGGCAAAGGGAAGGAAAAAGGGGTTGAAGCAGTGGTGATCGGTGAAGAAAGTTAACTGCCCAAGGAGGGCAGCAGACTGAGAGTTTGGCTTTGAGGGTAGCCAGGATCTTCCTGCCAAAGTTTCGGCCGGCTCTCTTTTCAGGCTTACAGAGTTTTTCTTTGTTCCTTTTTCTCAGGGTTTCCTGTCTTTGCCTGGAAAGGAGAGTCCGAAGATGACTTCTGGTGGTGCATCGACAGATGTGTGAATGTGGAGGGCTGGCAACCAAACATGGTGGGTCGGGTTTGTGCACACAGTTCTGTCGTCGGTTTGAGGAGGGAGGTGTAGGGAGGCCGTGGCCCGGGGAAGGCCTTCCCAGCCTGAAGGAAAGACCATGTCTTCTCTCCCTCCGAGGTCCTTGGGTTTCCAGCAGCTCTCAGCAGTTATGTGAAGGGCCCTCCAGGGAACTGAACCTCTTTGGAACTTGAAAGTGCTTTCAGTGCTGCTCTTGAAGGCCCACTGTGCAGTGCTGCTGCAGGATTGTGCGGGACTGCTGCAAATGGAGTGGAATGAGCTTCCGTTCCAGTACCGCTACCCGCTGCCCACTTGCACCCCCCGCCCCAAATCCTGACGGGGTCCCAAGTGAATCTGTTCTCTCTCTTTAGTCATCCTCCATTTCAAAAAGAATGGCAAAGCACCTTTGGAATGTTTCCTTCGCTTTGTTTTTATTTTAGTCTCCCCTTCTCACAGTTGCCAGTTCTTGGAAGCTGAGAGCACGTCAGGGGCGCAGAGAGAGGCGAAGAGCGGCTCCCGGTTGGGAGCAGTCCTTCTGCTGCCGGGGCTCAGGGAATTGACTGAAAAAGAACCCCCTGACACTCCAGTTGCAATCGCTGCCTGCGTGGAAGATCGCAGAGCAGGCCTCGCTGGGTCCGCAGTGGTGGGGCAGCCTCTCTCTGGGTGCTGGGGTCCAGGTCGCACTGCAGCTGGGCTGGTGTGCAGGGCTGCCTTAGAGTCTTCGTAGCCTGAAAAGGGGGGTCGTCTCAGTGTTGGCTCTAAGATGAGTCAGCTCACTTCAGCAGGGTTTGACAGCCACAGGAGGGAGTCTGACTGACAGACACTGACGATGATGTGCCAAGGGATTTTTCCTGGGAAGAAAACATTCATCTGACAATCGTGAGCATGGTGGGGGATGGGGAGGCCCCGGAGGGCTTGACAAGCTGTGGAGCCAGCATGCGCTACTGGAAAAGTAAATGAAGAGAGAAACACGGGGACCCAAAAAAAAGGTTGCTCCCCCCAAACAGGGCCCTATCAAGATCTGGGCCTTTGCTTTGCTTTGCTTTAAGTCTGACCTCGGGAAGGTCCCCTGCTGACACTCATTTCCAGCTGCAGAATTACAAGGTGGGAATCACGGGCTACCCTGGTCATTAGAGATGGCGACTCCCTGCCTCAGTTAAACACAGGAAAGTGGACGAGACTAGGGGCTGTACAACACAGAACTGTCAACTGATGATCCAGCTTTGCATCTGATCTGTTTGGAGCTGTGGGGGCAGCTCCATAAGAGATGCCATCTGTGCAGACGGGGAGAGGGAGCCCCAGAAGAGCCTCCGAAGGCTCGGCCGGGAAAAGACCAAGCCCTAGCTTAGAGCAGGTGCGAGGGTTCTCACAGAGGCCAACCCTGGGAGGTTTGCTGAGCCAGAGAAAGCAAGAGCGAGATCAGGTGGTAGACTTGAGGTTGGGGATTCAGTGCACCCTGGGGTCCGGGTGGCGTTTTTTGGCACTTCTCGATAGAGTTGATCGTTGACGGGACTGCAAAATGCCGACAGAGGGCAGCTCGGCTCTGTGGGGACGTCCCAGCGCAGGGAAGGAAAGGTCTGGAAAGTTCGCCCTTCTGTCAGCAGGGGAAGGGCTGAAGTGCTGAGGTGCCTGCGGCGGTGCTCAGTCTTTCTTTCGCTCATTTCTTATTCAGAAGCTACCCTCTGGTGATGGAGGCTCCAGTGGGCACAGCCGTGTGTTTATCTTTAATCCAAGCTGAAATAGTGATGAGCTGTTCAGAGGCACGCTGGCACACCTACATGCTGCCGCCTCCCAGTTATTTTTAATTTGGTTTATACAGAGTGTGAGGTTGAGCCAGGCAAAAACCTACAGTGTTGCCTGATATATCGGGCAGGAGAGGGACTGTGCTAAGGGCAAAGCAAAGGACCGATGTGTACCGTTTACTAAGCCAACATAGGGGGCATTAGTTACCTGGCCTTTGACTTAAACTGTACCTTGACTGGCGATCTTTAAAGTCCTGAATTAGAGGGAAGAAATCCGCTTGTATCCAGTTGAGGTTTTCCAAATATTAGAGTACATCCACGAGCTCTAGGGTCTAGATAACCATTGCAGCTACTGATCTGCACAAAATCTCTCTGTTTGGGTTGCTGTGTAGTTTGAGATATGTCATGTGGGAAGGGTATTTGGCTATGAGAATTCTAATTTGTTTCTCACTCATTGTCTTTTACTTCAGCAAAATGACTGGCAGATTATTGTGTTTATGCTGGCTTTTAGTTACCACGGAGCAATTTAGTTAGCCCTTGAGCAGGGGCTCCTTATCCTTTTAGGAAGAGTACAGGAAGTTTGAATATCTGTTGTTGATTCATTTGAAATTGAGATCCAAGACCCAGCGAAGGACTGGGAGCTTGGGGCCTCCAACAAATGGAATGATGGTTGTTATTGCAGATCTTGGATGATGGAGGGGATCTTACTCACTGGATTTACAAGAAGTATCCCAATATGTTTAAGAAAATCAAGGGCATAGTAGAGGAGAGCGTGACTGGAGTCCATAGGTAAGATCGAACATGTTCATACCTGGTTTGTGCGGCCTAGACTCTTACCCTTTTAATCACATACCCACAGTACACATGTTAAAATGGAAACCTGTGACGAGACCAGGTCTCAGTCTGCACATTTTCTTTTCTGAAGTAAGAAAGATGACAAGATCTTAAACGGGACAAGATCTTAAACAGGGAGAGGCCGGAGACAGTGAGTCCTCACGTTGCCCTGCTGTCATAATGCAATGGCTCCTGGTCCTTTGGGGACACATTCGTTTATTTGACCAACATGCACTGAACATCTGCAATGAGCCAGGAACTGCCGTAGGTACTAGGAATGATGGGCCAAGCAGACAGAGCGTGGGCCCCATAGGCTTCAGCGCATGACAGCAAGGACCTGGGTTCTGTTTCTCAAATGAGCATTCATTCTGGGAGTAAAACTGCAATTATTTCTGCTTCCTCTTTAAAGAACTGAAAGTATAAAGTTTTAGAGAAGCAAATCCTGAACAAGCCACCAGGCCTACGTCAATATATGGAGATCTTTGGATGAGTACAAAATTTGGAATATTCAAAACTATGGGTTCACACTATACCTTCAGACTCTAAGCAAGGAACTGATACTGAATGAAACACATAGTTGTCGTTTTCAGTTGACCCAGTTTGTTACTTCAAACTTCTTCAGTCTGGATTCCCATAGTTCCTTTATCAAGAACTTAGTAGAAATTCCCTGATTTATCAGCTACTGCCCTCCCAGTACTCCAGAAATGTAATTTTAATGAGTCTTGACCTAGTATTTCCCACCTGAGTTGGGAAAAAAATTCATTTTAAATACCTACTCCTGGCAAAGTAGAAGTAAAACGAATCTGTTACTAATCTGCTGCTGAGTGGTTCTGAACTGAGGGCGGGGCTCCCTTCAGAAAGGACATTTGAAAGTGTGGGGAGGGTCTCTGTTTACCACAACTACTGGAGAGACTATGACATGGGCTCGGGGGCCAGGAGTGCTAAATGCCCTACAGTGTCAGACGCGTCCGTCCTACACAACTAACCCTTGCACCCGCCTAAGTCCTAGCAGCTTCCTGGGGGGAGCAAATTTTGACCTTCACTCTGGGAGACTAAGGACTATACCTATTTTTTCATCTTATTAATCGTGGCACAATACATTTAATGCTCTTTCCGTAGATTTTGCTTCAGTAAATCAATGAATGTCATTATAAATTGATTCACATTGTTCCTATGCTGTGGTCCTAAAATCCCATACTCGACCCTATAATCTATCCTTAAAAAAAAAAGCTATAGCCTGAATCTGTTTGTTTGCAGTGTTACATATATAAGAGCAGAAGAGGGCAGGAGAAAATCATGTAATGGTTCATACAGAGGAGGTTAAGGAAACTCTAATTCAGCCATCAAAATGTATAAATAAGAGTACTATATAGAATCTTGCAAATGGTTATACCTATTTACATATGTGGATTAAGATTACAACATTAAAACTATTTGAAAATTAAGAGTGGTTGTGAGTAGTGAGATTCTGCAGAATTTTGGAAATAGTACTTAAAGTTACTCTTGTTATCATTGAAAGAGGCATCAATCTGAGACAAGTCCTTTAAAATGAAAGGGAGGCCAGGGATTCACTCACCCTGCCTTTGATTGTGGACTTTTTGTATAAGGTGCAGGCAGGCTCTGGAAAGCTATTCATCCGTTCTAGATTCACATAGTAGGACAAGATGAGTCATGCCTCACGCTTCATCGGCCCATGCTCAACTGACACTATGTCTGTCCAGTGCCCTCATGTCTCAGGTCTTCTTGGTTCCCTCCTCCTCAGACTGTACCAGCTATCCAAGGCGGGGAAGCTGTGCGTTCCGGCCATGAATGTCAATGACTCAGTCACCAAACAGAAATTTGACAACCTCTACTGTTGCCGTGAATCCATTCTTGATGGGTACGTTTCGTTGTGTTTGGGACGAACTTGAGTTGTGTGATATTTTATAGCTCTGAGCTACCACTGCTACCTCAGTGAGAGGAAAATCCATTTCCTAGCAGGAGTCAGGGGAGCTCCCCTCTGTTGGTGGGCAGAGTGCTTGCTTTGTGAGCCTATCAGTATTACAAGGTAGTAACTAAAGTCAAGGTAAATAAATAGATGTCTTCAAGGGTGTGGGGAAAGGCTCCTGGTGCATTCATTCCAGGTCATGCGGCCAGCTCTGGGTCTCCTACTACCCTATAAGCCTCTGGACTGCTGGACACTTGTGGCAAGCACTCAGTTCCAAGAGCCATTTCTCATTCCTCAAATCCGTGAATACTGCCAGTCTGAGGAGACCTAAAATAACGTACCAAGTCCCGGGTTCTGCTAGTGTGCATTTTCTGTTCCCCTGCTTGGTCCTGAGAGTCCTTAACTTCTTGCTAGGAAGGCTCAGTCATGTCCAGTGAGAAATCATCATGGTTTGTAGAACACTACTGTTTTTCCAGATGATTTCCATCGTGTCTGAGTTAATGGAAAAGTGAAGAAAAGGCCTATGGGCCACAGTGCCAGGGAGTCTGGACCCGAGGCTTTATATTGAGTGGCTACGGCCAGAAAGAGCTAGAGCACTGACTGTCCTTTATCATCTCTAAGACCTCTCTCTGCAGTTTTCCCATCTCTACCCTGGTGACAATAAGACCTGCTTCATAGAGTTATTATGAGGATTAAATTAGATCAAGCATGTATCCTGTTGCTCAGTGCGACTCCCCTTGTCATTCTTTGTAGAACTCTGGGTTAAGTCAAATCTTAAGGAGGATTTCTTGCTTTTAAATGCGTTCAACTCAGAAAATATTTCCAAGAATTGACCCTTGCCAATTCTAACTACTGATCATTATTACTGCTGTAGAGTCGGTGTTATTGTCAAAGAGACTGGACATTTAAGTGCATTGCTAGTCCATCTGTCCATCTATGGACCGTCCCTAGTTCTCTCCACCACATAAGTAGAGCCTAGAGCCTGATAGAATCCATCAAATCTGGGTATATTTTTATTAAGGTGGTTGCTCATCCACAGCAGAGCGTCTTTTAGAATTTTCATATTCAGAATCTGTAAGCCTAACGTCTGTCTATGCTAACTAGGCTCAGTACACAATCATGACACGGTATTAGGTGTGTAAAGAAGGACAGCATCCCTTCTCAGCAGAATCACCCTCCATGGAGAAACGGTTCTTTAATGTCAGAGAAGCGTGAAAGGGAGAGCCAGCGGGAAGCTGTGGAGCCAGAGGTTAGATTGCAACAGTGGTGGAATAGGGAAAGTTCAGCTACCTGCCAGGCACCTGTGAGAGCCCATAGGTGCGGTCGGAAGGTGAACAGCTTCCCAATCCGTAGACAGATCCATCAGTGAAAGGGAATAGAGAGCCCAGAAACAGGCCACACGAAGATAGTCAGCGGACTTGACAAAGGAGCAGAGGCGACAGGAAAGGCAAGTCTTCCCAACAAGTGGTGCTGGGACAACCGGACGTCCAGGCAAAAGGCAAAACGAAACCGAGTGTCGGCACAAGTATTAGCTCCAAAGAGACCCGAGACCTGAATGTGGGCAGCCTAGAAGGTCACATAGGAGACAATCTAGATGACCTCTTAGCCACACCCCCAACCCCCAGTATGAAGAAAACCCTCCATAAATTGGACTTCATTCAAAAGCAAGGCTTTTTTCCACAATGGAAACTCCCTGAAAGCAGCAGGACTCAGTCAGGACTGAAGAAAGAAATGGAGAACATTCTGCTGATCAAATATTTGCTTGCTTCCCCCTAGACTTAAAAGGACCACAGACATGATGTTCGGTGGAAAGCAGGTGGTGGTGTGTGGCTACGGAGAGGTAAAGACCCACTCTCGGCTGGGGCGCCCCAGCATCTTGCTGAGCTGCACTGGGACTCTTCATGTGCAGGAGAGTACAGCTATTAGATGGGAAAGCCCCACAAGGGGCCTCGGCTTCAAGTACAGTCTTGCTTTGTCCCTTTGTATTTTAGCCATTGCTCCCAGAGTTGGTGTTCCGCCTTGTTCCAGTGCCACTCTGTGATGCTCTTTTCATTGTGTTTTGATTCTGAACCATGCGAGTGGGTGTTCTGGTGCACGTGACTGTGCTAAGCGGTGGCCGGGGGCTGGCTCGTGAGCTGCCATCAGTTGTTCCTCTCCCTCTAGACCCTGAGTGGGAATCTATTCAGTTGGCGGGGGCAGCTCTGAGACACAGGCTCCTCCTGACAGCCCCTGTGCTGTGTGCTTCCTCCCTCTCCAGGTGGGGAAGGGCTGCTGCGCTGCTCTGAAAGCCATGGGCTCCATCGTGTACGTCACGGAGATCGACCCCATCTGTGCCCTGCAAGCCTGGTAAGCCAGCTCTTCTGCACCGCCACCTCGCCCGGGGTCCGGAGCCCGGAGCGGCCCCCAGAGAAGGGCCTATGTGGTGTGCCCAGTCTTGTCTTGGGGGCGCAACCCGACAGAGGCTGCCAGCGAGCCAGTCACCACAGGGTCCTGTGCCTCAGCCCTGCTCTGCAGAAGGCAAGACCTAGAATTCCCAAGGAACAGCAAGCAGCCGGGAGACCGCCCTGAGTCGAGAACAGGAGCTCCACGCGGAGCCCGTGCCCTTTAGGAAGAAAGGGGCACCGTCAGACCTTTCTGGGGTCAAGCCTGTCCTCCCTCAAAGGCCAGCTTCGAGCCACAAGGACACATCCCAGAGCCGGTCACACATAGCGGCTGGGATCTGAGTGCAGGCTGGGTGGGAGTTCTCTGCCCTACTCTTTTGATACTTTTAAGTTTGAAATAATTCTAGAAGGAAAGTTTCAAAACAAACAACCAGGAGACCAGTGTCTGCTTTGTCTAGTCCGCTGCTCGCGAAGTGAGGTGGGGCTTTTCTGACGGCCCCACGACTTCTCTGAGGGGAAGTGTGTTTCTCAAGAGAAACCCGGCCAGACACTCTCCCTTCTCTAACCCGCGTGCTTCTCCTCTGTCAAACATGGTCGTCGCAACGACCTCAGAGCTCTGGAAGGTCAGTAAAACAGGTGTGGCATCATGCCAGGTGGGGGCATAGTATAGAATAATTGTGTGTGTGAAGCACAGAGCTGCTGTCACATACCAGACCCTGGGAAAGGGTATCGACGTCCTCCTCAGCGGATAAAACGTTGCAGAGTCCCGGGAAGTGTCTCCTGAAGAACATATCCAGAGACCTGGCCTCCACTCCCCTCACAGCCGAGCCACAAGCCCGCAGCTCTCCCCGGCAGAGTTCTGGTGTTTTTCCGCGTCAGGGCTGCACCACACCCCAGGAACTCTGGACTCCTCCAGGCACTGTGCAGGGTTCCTTGCAGAACCTGCTTTAGCGCTGTTCCGATTAGATACTGTCCCAGTGCTCTTACAGCAAGGTCCATCATGGACTGTGGGTGAGGCCATGCTAAGAATAATAAGAGAAGGCCTCTACTTTTCAAAGCACAAGGAAAGCCCTGGAGAATAACCACTGGACTTGCTAACCGCAAGGGAGGCAGTTCAAACACCCGCTCCTCTGTTCAAGAACAATGAAGCTGACAGCTCCTATGAAGAGGTACAATCTTGGAAACCCTAGTATGGGCCCTGTGCATCAGAGTTGACTCCATGGCCGTGGTGTGTGGGTGCTGCCAGGCACACTGTGGTCCGTGCCGAGAGGGCGGGGGACAGCTCATGCTTCTGCAGGAGCGCAGAGGAGAAACAGCAGCGGAGGAAGCAAGGGGGCCAGGTAGGAAGAGGTGGCTGTAGCCCTGAGTCTGGAGGCACAGGTGCAGATGTTTTCTTTGGACGTGTGTCCCAGACAGAACTCCTGCGTAGACACAGGATGGCAGAAACTTGGCCTGTGGAAGAAGCTGTGTGAACGGAGGGCACATTTGAGAGAGCAATGCAATCTGCAGTAGAAATCATGTCAGGTACCATGACGTGGGTTCTGTCTCTGAGCAACCCTGTGTCTGAGAGAGCCAGCCCCGCCCAGGCCTGCACCGCCCTCACAGTACTTGGGGGCTCAGCCCACAGTTTCAGCCTCTCTCTCAAGCCAGATAGCTTGTCGAAGTTCCTTTTCACTGACCCTCGGTTGTACCAAGCATGATGTCCTGTCCCCGCTGCCTACGTGCCCAAAGTATGCGAGACTGGGTCTCACCATCCTGGCATCCAAGGGGCATTCTGCTGTGCTGCTCCCTCCCCGTGCTTTGCTCGTCTGCCACACTGCTCCCGTCCACCGTTCAGATAGGCCCGCACTCCGCATAGGAGGGCACGGACAACACTATGGCTTGACTCAGCCGTCCCTTGATCCGCATCATGACATCTTTGCTGGGTTAACCTTTTTAAAAGGTCTGGTGTAGCAGATTTGTCCAATCCAATAAATTGTTTGGTTCCTTGACCACTGCCTCCATGAGCATGGATCATGGATTCGAGCAAAATGAGACCCTTGGCAACCCCAGCCTTCTCTCCAGTTATCAGCACACAGTTCATTCACCCAGTTGTGAGGGTTTGGGTTTTCTTTACGTTGAAGTGTAATCCATCCTGAAGGCTGTCGGTAGTCTCTGGTCTTCATCAGTTTGTGCTTCAAGCCCTCTTTGCTTCCAGCAAGCAAGGTTGTGGCATCTGCATAGCTCAAGTTGTTAATGAGTCTTTCTTTAATCCCGATATTACGTTCTTCAGATAGCCCCCCCGTTTCTTGGATCATTTGCTCAGCACACAAGTTGAATAAGTGTGACCGAAAGATGAGACCCTGATGCCCACCTTTCCTGATTTTAAACCCTGCCGTCTCCCCTTGTTCTAGTTGAATGCCCACCTCTTGGTCTCTGTATAGGTTTCATGTGAGCACAACAAAGTGTGTTAGAATTCCCATTCTTTGTTATACTGTTCATGGTTTATTATCCACACAGTGACGGCCTTTGAATAGGCAATAAAACAGGTAAACATATTTTTTAGTTTCAGCCAAGAGCCATCTGACATCATTCATAATATCCCTTATTTCACATCCTCTTCTGAACCTAGCTTGAATTTCTGGAAGTTCCCTGTCAATGTACTACTGCAACCATTTTTAATGACCTTCAGCAAAATTTTACTTGTGTATGATATTAATGGTATTGTGTCATAATTTCCTCATTCTGTTGGCTCACCTTTCTTTGGAATGGGCACACATATGGATCTCTTCCAATCAGCTGGCCAGGTAGCAGTCTTCCAAATGTCTAGGCATGGGAAAGTAAGCGCTTCCACTTGTTAGAGCATAGTTCCTGGAGCGTGTTTTCCACTTGCCTTCGGTGCAGCTCAGACTTCTGCCTTTGATACCATCGGTTCCTGATCATCAGCCACCTCCTGAAACAGAATCATGAGACTTCGCCTATATGTCAGTGTAAATGTTGGAATCTCATCCTAAAAGCAATGGAGAGTGTCACTCAAGTATTTTAAGCAAGGAAGTGGCAAACTCTGAATTGCGTCTATGGAAATGATAGAATGAATTAGAGAGATATAAAACGTGGGCCACTGCGATGGGGCCAGGTGCTGTGGTAGTAGACAGGAAGTCATGAATCCAGAGTGTCATTAAGCACGGCTCGAATGAATGGCAAAGAGGGGACGGATTGGACAGGTTGTAAGAAATTGAAGTAGAAAAATCAACCAAATTTCTTGACAAATTCAACTAGGGAAAGGGAGCAAGCTAGGATTCTCCATTGTATTTGGCTCCTACAGTTTGTTGAAAAGTGGTGCCGTCTAACAAGTTAGGAAACATAGAAGCAGGCGGGGCTGGGGGTGGAGGGCGTGGATTGATTTTTTTAGCGCACTGCTGAGCTTGAGATCCCATGGGGCCTCCAGGAAGAGCTAGCTTGTGGCTTATGTGATCCATGGCCGTGAAGCTTCAGAGAGACCTATGCTAACAATGTACTGTGCATCTGTGAAGCAGCCACCTGGAGGTGATCATTGAGACCAAGGAACAGGAATTGATGGCGTTACATGAATGGAGAAAAATGTCAAGGAAGAACCTTCCGGAATGCCACTGTCAGAGAAGCAAAAGGAAAACCAGAAGAAACCAGCATTATGAGTCTCAGGAGTACATAGAGAGTTTTAAGAAGTCAAATGATGTTAAATACAGCAGAGAAATGCAGATAGCATAAGGACCTACAAAATATTTTTTATTCTGGCATTCAGAAGATCATTGATGATCTTGGGATCATTGATGATCTTGGGATCATCAGTGTTTCAGTGGAGCAGGAGGTTCAGTGGCTAAGTGAACCTTCTAGAAGCTCAGTTTGGGTATTTCATGGCTCCTGTTATCGGGAAGAAATAAGTTCCAGTCATTCAGTAGGGCCTTTATGAACTGTGGCACTCGATCGGAGTTTTCTGCTTCGTTTAGCTCTATCAGGATGTGACAGCATAGGTACCATAGGGATTGGTGTCATAATCTTTGAGGTTCTGTGGCAGAAGGCTCCCCAGCCACCTGTTCGGTTCATTGATTGTGCTTTATTTCTACAGCATGGATGGATTTCGACTGGTGAAATTAAACGAGGTCATCCGACAAGTGGACATCGTTATTACCTGTACAGGTATGATTATGGCAGAGAAAATGGGCGACACTTGGGAACACTTTACGGCAGGAAATAAACATGACTGGAAACGCTTAAAGCCAGAGATAGCTGTCCACAAACCAGTCAGTCGTCCACGTTCTCCCTGCCATCATTCTGACCCTCAGCTACCACTGGGTCATCCCTACAGGAAGGTTGCTCTCCACTCTTCTAACTGCCCCACATTTCTGCCCACCCTCAGCTACCTGCGAGGTGAGATTCATTGGCAGAGTTTTGTGGGAAGCCAGAGCTCAAATTTGTACATAGGATATTTTATCTCACCTCCCAAAGTGAGCAAGGATGCTTATCTCCAGTCTGTAACCGAGCTTAGGCCAGAGCAGAGTCCTCCGAGGTAGAGAAAGTGAGGCAGGAGAAACCTGCCATCGTAACCGTTTTGAAGTGTACGATTTAGTAACAATTACATGCACCGTGTTGTGCGACCATCACTGTTTCTTTCTCTTTTCACTTTTATTTAATAGCCACAGTGAAGTTCACATAGCACACCTCTTCCCCATTTAAAAGTAAAGTACTGCAACCGTCCCCACCATCGACCTCTGGGACACCTCCACTTTCATCGCCCCTAAAAGAAACCACACATCCACCCGCAGGCCCTCCTTGTTCCACCTAGCCCGTCCCACTGCCGTGGGGTCAATTCCAACCCTTAGCGACCTTGTAGGACACCGTAGACTGCCCCCTCTGGGTCTCCCAGGCGGTAAATCTACGGAGCAGGCAACCTCAACTTCTCCCATGGTACAGCTGGTGGAGTTGAACTGATGCCCCTTCAGGCCAATTCGTAACCCACTGTGCAACCAGGGATCCTCCATATCTTCCATAGCAGTTCCTAAACCGACCTAGAGAAGTTAAATAATTTAGGACAGGCCCACTAGGATGGGTAAAATAAAAATGGCAGGTGTAGCAAGTGTTGGTGAGGACTTGGGGAAATCAGAATCCTTGTCTGCAGCCCGGGATGGGGAAGAGGGGCCCTCATTCTGGAAAACAGTTTCACAATTCCTCAACATGTGTGCAAAGTAGAGCTACCGGTTCATCCAACAGTCCCAGCCCGAGCCTGTAAAGGAACACGGGCAGTGGCACAGTGGGCTAAGCACTGCGGCTCGCTGAAGGGCTGGTATTTCAAACCTCCCGGCTGCCCCACGGACAAAGGTGAGACAGTCTGCATGATCCCAATGTGGAAACCCCGTGGAGCAGTTCCCTGCTCCCTCGTCCCATGAATAGAAAAGTCTCCTTGGCAGTGGGTTGGAGGGGGTGTGAAGTGGTTTTGATTTGCATTAATGAATGATATTTGCAAACAGGACTAATTTGATTTGCATAAAGGACTAACTAGATTAAATATTTTTTCATTGTTCTGTCAATTGTATACCTTCTTTGGAGAAATAAATACGAGGGGGTTTTGAAAAGTTTGCGGGAAAATTCCATTATCTTTTCATTTTTTGAAGACCCTCTTTATTCAGTTTCTAATTGTGTGGTTTGTCTTTTTGTTGTGGTGAGGGCTTGTTATCGATTCTGTATACAAGTCCCTTATCAGATGCGTGGCTTGCAGTCTGAACCCACCAGCACCCCCACAGGGCAAGGCTGGCAGTGTGCTTCCGTAAAGATGGACGGCCTTGAGCGGTTCCCCTCCATCCTGCAGGGCCCGTGAGGCAGAACTGACTGGACAGCAATGGGTTTGGCTCGTGCTGTGAGAGTCTTCTCCTCAGGAGCCATTGCCAAACCCGGTGTCACAAAGATCTCCGCCATATTACCATTTTAGCTTTTACCTTTAGTTCTCTGGTCCACTTTTGGTTAATTGCTGTGTACAATGAGATGGAGGGGTCTGACTTCATCTGTTTGCATGTGGCCAAAGTCTCCTGTGGTCTTGTTTTTTGTCTCCTCTGATTTTAAGGTAACAAGAATGTGGTGACCAGGGAGCACTTGGACCGAATGAAGAATAGCTGCATCGTTTGTAACATGGGACATTCCAACACAGAGATCGATGTGGTAAGGTCAACCAATTCATTAGTGGGGACTTCCCCCTGACCCAATTCTTCCCAAGAAACATAAACTGGGCAAGGAAAGAGCAGAGTCACCAGCTACCTGCAACATGCCTGTCTTGGCAAAGGTGTCCACAGCTGCTCACTGACTGGCCTACGGCCTGTGCTTGAGGCCAGGATAGAGTTCCTTCTCTCAAATTGGTCATTTCACATGATTGTCTGCTTCCAACCAAGCTTGATACCTACTTGATGCCATCTTACCGTACTGGGGCACGTGCAGGTGGAGACTACATAGACTGAAAACGACCAAAAGGGTACAATGAGTGCCGGGGTGGGGGCATGTTGATTTTCCCAGGGAAGTGAGAGAGCTTGTCGGACAGGACAAGTCAAGAGAGGGAAGCCTGGGGAGGAGGGGTCAGGACCTCGCTGAAGGTGGCCTGTGCTGTGGCGTCCACAGCGGCCTCTCACGGCCTCCTCCCTTGGGCTCGCTGTCCTCTAGCAGCAGGTTGTCTCAGGGTCACGGTCAGTGCAGTTTTGCAATGCAATCCACTGGTGTAATTTCAATGCTCAAGCCTGGGGAAAAACTATCACTTTGGCTCTCAAATTGGACCGTATGTACAGTCCAGTCGAACACAGCACTGAGTCTTACTAAGTTGCCCAATTGGCAGTTAGTAGAAGTGTTCTTTCTCTCTGTGAGACTTCCCAAAGCCTCTCTCATGGTGACCGCCGCTGACATCTCTGAGCTTTTCCTGATGGTTTTCTGGTACCCCATGTTCCCCTGCGGGTCACCGGCTCAAGCAGAGCTCGCTGCCGTCTCCTCTGAGGGCTGCTCTGTTGGTGCCGCTGCTTCTCCAGCTACCGGTCCGTGGATCTATTGAGAGCCTGTTGGGCGGTCCCTGTTTTAGACAGTTTCTCGTCGTTTTAACTCTGTGCTCTGTTCTTATGTGATGGAAGCTTATTTTGCCCCTGGGGTATGTGAGTTATCCAGACTCACCAGGTCATCTTGCTTAGAGTGAACAGTTGATGGTCTTTCATTGTTGTTGTTAAAGTTCGCGGATGTGCCAGAATGCGGAATAGTCAAAGTTATTCATGTTTCTAAAACTTTCCCGTGCATGAATACCACCCCCCTGCCCCCATCAATCTGCATGGGGAGCCCCGAGTGGTGGGAAAGACCTAACGGGAAGTGGTCACATCTGGGGAGGGAAGGAGGTGCCTCCCTGAGCTCTTCAAACGCTCTGAAATCAAAATGACACAAAGACAGTCTTGTCGCTTTGGGATTTTTTTTTACAGATTTAAAAGGTGACGTGGGCTCATTTCATCCTTTTGATCTCCCAGTGAGGGTCCATTCTTTTTTGCTTGTTTGTCTTTAAATCATTTTATTGGGGGCTCGTACAACTCTTAACACAATCCATACCTCCATCCATTGTGTTAAGCACATTTGTACATTTGTTGCCATCATCATTCTCAACTTTGCTTCCTCCTTGAGCCCTTGGTATCAGCTCATCATTTATCCCCTCCCTTCCTGCCCCCACTCCCTCACGAACCCTTGATAATTTGTAAATTATTACTATATTGTCATGGATCCGTTCTAATTCCTAGTTTTCAAAAGGAAACCTAAGGCATGCACTACTCAGGGACGGACATTGATCGTCAAATGAAACTGGCATACAAAATGCCGATGTTTTTACTCCCGTCCAGTTCCCTCCCTATCCTCCTGTATGTTGTACCGTGACCTCCCTCCGGACTCCCGGATTCCTTTCAGATTGTGATGAAGCAGCCTCTCTACCCTCCCAAGGCAGCGGGACACAGTACTCTCTCAGGGGAACGCCTGGTGAGCCTTTAGCACCCTTCACAAGAGTGACTGCCGCCTGCCAGGTGCTGGGCCTACAGGACTCGGTGGAGCCCATGAACACATGGACAGGGGCTGGCAGTGAGAAGAAAGGAGAGGACTTCACAGATCAGTCAGTGTGTCCTAGGTTGGGCAGCAGGGTGCCGAGTGTCATCGTACTGATTCATGACCTGAGCTGTGATGTTAAATAGAGGTCTTAAAAGGTGCCTCATTAAGATGACTGGCCCTGTGGCCTTCGAAATGAAGAAGATTTCAGGAAGCGAGGGAGCCGTACAAATGCCCGAACCTGGGCACCTGGTCTGTTTGAGAAACACAGCGGCCAGGGTGGTCAGAGCAGACTGAGCGCATGGTGCCCTAGGTGGTGATTCCTAGTTTTAAATAGTATGCTCATTAGAAGATCGTTCCCCACCACAGCCTTCCTTCCTAAGGAACATCAGTGCTGCAGATACTTGGGGAACCTGTGGCAGGGACTGTGCTCACAGGATTGTGCCCTGGGCTGCGTCTGTCTGCTGCATATTTCTTTCATCTAGAAGGCAAAAGACCTGTGACTGTATGCGTCACAGTTCAGATGATGAAACCCTTAGGTACCTATGTTTTGCTAGCCTCTGAATTACAGCATAGTAATGGTTTACCCCTGGACCTGTGATTGACTTCAAAACTACAACCACAGGCATTTACTCCCCATGAAGAAACTGATGGGCGAATACCAAAAATAAACTTTGGGGCCAGGGCATGGCACCCCATCAGACTCAACCAGAAAACACTCCTAAAGGTCAACAAACAGATGTTGAACTATTTATAGGCTTTTCTTTTTTTAAATCATTGTTTTTGTTGTTGTTGCTTTTTTTTGTTGCTTTGTTTTGCTCTGTCTTGTTTTTTGGGCATATCATTATTATCTCTGCAGATCTATCTAGATAAGATAGGCAGAATAAACTATCTGGAGGAGATAGTTCCGACAGTTCTGGGGGAACATGGGAGAGGGAGAGGCGGGGGAAAGGAAGAGGGTGTTAACAAATTCAGGGACAAGGGAACAACAAGTGATCTAAAATCAATGGTGAGGAGGAGTGTAGGAGCCCTCGTAGGGCTTGATCAAGGGCAAGTAACCAAGAGCAATTACTGAAACCCAAATGAAGGCTGAACATGATAGTGGGACAAAAGGAAAACAAAAGGAAATAGAAGAAAGAACTAGGAGGCAAATGACATTTATAGAGATCTAAATGCAGGCATGTACATATGTAAATATATTTATATATGACAATGGGGAAATAGATCTATGTACATATATGCATAGGTTTAGTATTAAGATAGCAGATGGACATTGGGCCTCTCTCTACTCAAGTATTCCCTCAATACAAGAACATTTTGTTCTTTTAAACTGGCATTCCATGATGCTCACCTTCCCTACACTATCGCTAAAGACAAAGCGGGTACATAAGCTATTGTGGTAAAGAAAGCTGATGGTGCCCAGCTACCAAAAGATATAGCGTCTGAGGTCTTAAAG